TACAGGCTCAGGCATGCACGATTGTCTCCTGTCTGAATAAGCCTGAATGTCTTGGACCTGGACATGTGTACGTTGTTTGAGTTTTAAGCTGGGCTAGGTCAAGTTCATGATTTTAATACCTTTATTTAAACCAAGTGTGATCTTAGCTAAAACTTGGCACCAACTCATTGAAAAGCCTAGTTGCACCAAATGGGTTAAAAACAAAGCCTGGTTAGTGTTAAGGTTTTGGTTGTCTTAGCTTATTGACAACAACTTTTGTAGGACACATAGAATACCAATCTGATGGAGGATAGGTTATCTGATTCTGAATTTGACGGAGGATGTAAGCATAGATGTAAAGAAAGTATTTTATAGGATTTGAAGAGAATAAAATATTTTAGATGAGATAAAAGCAAAAAATAGAACTACCAGATCTACATTGGATCAAGGATTAATCGCCATGTATGAAGGTCTTGTAGCTCTGAACATTCCACATATGGACAATAGAATCCGGTCAGAAATAAGATTATGGTCTCACATCACTTGCAAGAAATTACAAGATTTTTTTTTCTTCATTCATTCAGTTTTTCTGTGATCTTCATGGTTTCAATTGTTTTTTCACTTCTCCAGGCCTCTAATACTAGTAGAATAGGAAAAATATAAAAATAACAAGGGATGCAATAAAGAAAGTTATATTTCATAGGTGAAGGCATGTCAATCATGAAAAGTAGATAGGTTTCATATTTGTTTTGACAAATGACTTGTTACAATAAGATTTTGATTAATAAACTTTCTTCTTTGTATATCATATAACTTCTTAATGGGAATGGAATCAATTAAATCTAAGTTAAATCATCTTCATTTTTCTTTGGAATGCCCAATAAAGCCCGAGATTTGCATTCTTCGCATTTTTTATTTTCATTTTTGTTTTCTTTGGGCAATCATGGTAATCAACACAAGATCATCATATGACAATTACAACTGCCTTGGGTATGTGCTGGCGGAGAAGCTGCTAATGATGCTACTTCCATTTTCTTTTTAACAGTTACGTCTGCTCTTCCTTTCGTAAACATATGGTCAGATTGAACTGGCAAGCTAGAAAGAGTTGTCTTAGGGTTATCTTAATTGTTCTCTTTACCTTATGTCGTGCGCTAGTCTGCTCTAAGACTGCTCGTCGCTTCGGTAAGGCTAATGGAGCGAGGGGGGCAAAATCTAGTTCAAATTCTTGTTATAAGCGACTTTCACTATACTTGAACTAACGCTTTCATGGAATAACTCACATGAAGCGTCTAACATTTGTAAAAAGACCAATTAAATTGATAAAATTTATTCAAGAGAAAATAAATGAAAATAGTGGACCACCTCACTAACAAATGCATTATTTCGTCTTTTAATTTTTGTGCTTATTGTAGAACAAGCGCATCCTGCACGATCATAATTACATGTAAGCTACATGCGCCGCTAATACAATGTTGGTACATAGTTTGCTTGTTTTGCAAAGCTTCCATCATCTTATCACAGAAAAGTTTAATGAACTCTAAATGTTAGTTAAGAAACTTGCTAAAACCATATAGTTATCTGTTGCAGGCATTGTCCGTTGAAAGCATTTGCTGGATTATGGAGTTTTTGTAAGTGTTCCAGGTGACAACTTGTTGGATTATTCAGAGACATCTGCTTCCTGTCTAAATTAAGGGTGTCGACACTTTGGATGCTACCTTTTAGCAAAATCCTTGTAATATGTCTAATATTCACCTTTAATTTCTTCTCACCTATCTTAACAAACCCGACTTCAGATGCGACCAGTCAATGCAAATAGCTAGATTTCACATTTGAAAATCTTATTTAGCAATAGATCATTGTACTTCCATGATACGCCTGCTGCTGACCAAGATATTGTAATTCAACTACCATATCTTTAGGACAATTTATCAAACAAAGTTTCTTATAATCGTTTGTCACCAAATAACATTCCTCATGATCGTTGTTACGTGGGGATTATTGTTTTCATAAATGTCAAATTTATCCTCGCAAAATCTTTGAACTGGTTTGGGTCAAAACACTAAACCCTCCACATCCTCCCTATCCTCTCACCTTATCCTCCTCAGTCGTCTTCCTTTCCTTTTGTCTCCTCCCATTTTGTCACCCCCTCTGCCTTTTTCTTCTTCTCCTCACTCTCCTTTTCGTTCTCCTGCTCTTAAGTTACTCAGGAAAAACCTCTCGTTACATTAAAAAATCCCTTCCTTTCTTTTCCTCCTCTTACTCATAATTTATCCAAAATAAAACTCTCGTTACTAAAAAAAAATAACTTCAAATATATTCGTTGACAGAACCTAGTATAAAATATATTAATTTTTATATAAAAATAATCCTGAGTTTATCATAAATTGAAAAAACTAATATAATTCTTGTTGAAATCATATTCTAGTAGAACTTTAAAAGTTTGAGCTAATTTGATTGAAATTGATCATATTATACTCGACAGTGAACTGATGAACTAAGATATATTTATTCGTATAATCTATTTAACAAATCTTAAATTTAAAAATTAATTATAATAAAATTATTTAAAAATAAAAATATTAATAATGTTAGAATGATGAGTTAGTAGATTAGTAAAACTTTGAGATAGTTTGATTGAAGTTGACATTATTGTTTATTCATAGAACCTATCCAACAAAATCCAAAATTTGATAATTAATTATGTTAAAATTTTATAAAAATAAAACAGATACTAATGGTGTTAGTATCATATTCTAGTATGATACTAGAATATGAGATGGTTTGGTAAGAGTTGATCTTGTTACACTCAAGAATAAACTAAAAGCCTCCATAATAACTATAAAAAAAAATTTAAATTTTAATAATTAATTCTCTTAAAATTCTCTAAAAATGGAAAATGATGTTTTAATGATGTTCTGGTAGATGGGTGAAAGTTTAAGATAGTTTGGTTGAAGTAGACCCTATTACACTCGAGAATATTTTAAAATACACTCATTTACAAAATTTATCTAAAAAATTTAAATTTTGATAATTAATTATTCTAAAATCTTCTAAAAATAAAAAAATATTGTCATAGTAGAGTGGTGAAAGTTTGATGTGGTTTGGTTGAAGTTGACCTTTTGCACTTGTAAATGAACTAAAAGACACTCGTTCGTTCATAGAACCTATCTAACAAATTTAATATTTAATATTTAATTATCATAAAATCTTCTAATAATAGAAAATTTGGTATTAATAAGTGGATCATATTATACTTAAAAATGAACTAAAATATAGTCATTCACAATACCTATCTAATTGAGAATTATGCAATCAAGTATATTTCAGTTCAAATTTTAGTATTTGGGTGGGCTTTGTCTAAAATACTTTGAACTTGTACATTCGCACCCACATATGATTTTGATGCTCATTCTTTTTTTTTTTTTGGATGATTTTTGAAGAATTACAATTTGAATTTTAGAATCATTTTTCTAGGAGGAGGAAGATGAGATGAAGCCAAAGGATGAGGAGGGGTAATTTATGAACCATAAGCATAGAATGGATCGATTCAACATGACAAAATCAGAATGGACTTGGTGTAAAAAGGACCGAATCATGAATTCTGCATTGTCCCAATGCCATTTAACCTAAAACATTTAAGACATTTCTATCTAAATGGGAAAATAGGGCTGCTCCCAAGCAAAAATATTAGGCTTATCTTTATCATCTATCGAATCTTCTTTCATATCAACTATGACTTGTACGTGTATGTCTATATCATAACCATATTTTAATTAAAATTTTTTGATCAATCTGAAGCCATTTTGGCACATTTTATCATAAATAATTTAGAAAATGTTTGATGGTATATAAAGAAGTATATAATTTTATAAAAAAGAGATTAAAAAACATCAACGTCCCTTTGTTTTTTTTATTAAGATGTTTAAAATCATTTATATTTTGTTTTACTTCATTCCTTCAAGTGATTAGACCGAAGATGTATTTAGTAAAACCCCTTTAAAGATCAAGCTGATACCTTTTTATTTATTTATTTATTGAGGGCATCAAAAGACCATAATGAATGAAGTATCCATTTTGTAACTCCAGAATGAACTATTCATCTTGTAATTTCAGAATGAAAACATTCAGGTCAATGTTTGTTTCTATAGTGTCAAATGTATCATACATAAGAGAGATATACTAATCACTTCAAATATTTTAAATATTTTTTATCCTAAACATGAGCATAATACATAAAAAAAAATAGGTTAGTTACATCGAGCACTTCCGATATTTCACTTATATTTGATAGATACATCATATAAAAAAAAAAAATGCACATAACATATTGCACTTTAATTTTTGTGTGTTCATCACGCACAAGAGAAATATTAAACGTTTAAATGCTCTTTGTTTAAAATGAAGATTCATTTAAAAATATTTCTTTATGTAATATCTGTTCTATAATTATCAGATTAATAAGAAAAAATTTTCTTTAGGTACCATGCTGAATGTACCTAACATATCATGAAAACTTTTATTTTTATTTTTATTTTTTTAACATTTAAAATTTTTATTATTTTATTATTATTTTTTGAAATATATAAATATTATTATATTATTATTATTTACATTAAATTTAATAAAGTCATATTTTAATTTGTTAGTTTAAAATGATTATTTATTATTAATATAAAATTGATATATAAAAAATAAATTATTATTTTTAATCAGTTCAAATCATGGGTTGGTTCAATCGACTGATTTAAAGAGGAAGGAAAATAGAAAATAAATAAATAAATGAGTAGTTCGAGTTACTTTTGTTATTTAAAAAATATCAGAAAAAATCAATATTCTATGGGAAAAAAAAGTAATATGTGAGTATTGCTGGCAAAAA